ATATCCATCTATATAGCAAAAATATATATCCATCAATATATTAAACTATCTATCCATCAATTCATTAATCAATCCATTTATACATTAATCTATCTGTCCCCATCTTTTCCTCCAGTCGACGAATTGGTGGAAAAATACATGGATAGATGGATGAATGAATAGATGGATGGATAGATGGGTAGACAGATGGATCGATATATATAAATGGATAGATGGTTACAGACAGACCAGTGTAACGCTGGGTCTGTCTGTATCCCATCTATCCCTCACAATCAACATTCACAATCATTGATTCTCCGAACAGCAGCAGCTCACAATCATTGCCTTTCAGACCAATTACTTCTGACGATGTTTGCTACTCAGAACAATAACTATTCACAATCATAATAACTCAAAACAGCAGGTTTTTACAATCACTTCAACAAGAAACCGCTGATCAAATTCGCTGATACTTAGTACAATCGCTCCTCACAATCACTGCTAATCAGAATAATTACTGCTCAGAAATCACTATCTATCAGAACAAGAGACACTCTCAGCCACTTCACCTCAGAACAACAGCTGCTGACAATCACTGCTGCCCAGTGATTGTCAGCCGTTCTGATTGATATTAGCCGTTAATAAAAGTAAAAAACGAGGCAGTGCAGCCCTCGGTGGAGGCGTGGCAACAGCATGACAACCGTACGGCAACAGTACGGCAACAGTACGGCAACAGTACGGCAAGAGCACGGCAACAGCACGGCAACAGTACGGCAAGAGCACGGCAACTGCACGGCAGCAACACGGCAACAGCACGGCAACAGCACGGCAACAGCACGGCAACAGCACGGCAACAGCACGGCAACTGCACGGCAACAGCACGGCAACAGTACGGCAACAGCACGGCAACAGCACGGCAACAGCACGGCAACAGTGCCGGGACAAATATGCTTATAACCTTCGTATTGTAAGAATGTTTTCGGCTGATGACACAACAGTGAAAGTTATTTTCAATTTATGAAACACTGGGCGCTCCCGGCACGGACGTGTGCTGCTCTACCACACCAGGCCGTGTTGGGGAGGAGAGGGGGTAAAGATGGGGAGGGGAAGGGGAGGAGTTAGGGTAAAGATGGGGAGGGGATGGGGAAGAAAAACATGCTAGAATCTGGCTTCACGCTGCGTGAAGTCTTCAGTCAATTTCGTTTTAACCTGGAATCTCTTGTTCAGTTTCCCAAGTTGTTACGTCTAAAGTGGCTATGTCACAAGTGGCTATGTCACAAGTGGCTATGTCACAAGTGGCTATATCTCAAGTGGCTATATCTCAAGTGGCTATGTCTCAAGTGGCTATGTCTCAAGTGGCTATGTCACAAGTGGCTATGTCACAAGTGGCTATGTCACAAGTGGCTATATCTCAAGTGGCTATGTCTCAAGTGGCTATGTCACAAGTGGCTATATCTCAAGTGGCTATGTCTCAAGTGGCTATGTCACAAGTGGCTATGTTGTATCTCCCTATTGGCGCTCTTATGTTCAAGCAGTTCTCTTTTTCTGAGTTGTATCTTCAAGCCCAAGTCTCCTTTCCCTGTTGACGTAAGTTGTCTGCTCTCTATCCATGTCTTTTTGGTCATGTATTTCACCTTAAGTGTAGCCTTCTCTTCTCTCCGACTTCCTTTTTTGAGGGAGATAAACTTTTCACAATGTTTGTCTTCTCTCCAAGTTAGTTTACTCCTGGGAAACACTGCAGGAAGTCTCTCGCCTTCTTGTTGTCTCCTCTGTAATCTCGTAACCTTTTGATACCTTCCCTGTAATCTCTTGCCCTCCTGTAGTCTCAGCTGTAATTTCTTGCTCTCCTGTAGTCTCAGCTGTAATCTCTTGCCCCTCCTGTAGTCTCAGCTGTATTCTCTTGCCCCTCCTGTAGTCTCAGCTGTAATCTCTTGCCCTCCTGTAGTCTCAGCTGCAATCTCTTGCCCCTCCTGTAGTCTCAGCTGTAATCTCTGGCCCTCCTATAGTCTCAGCTGTAATCTTTTGCCCTCCTGTAGTCTCAGCTGTAATCTCTTGCCCCCCCTGTAGTCTCAGCTGTATTCTCTTGCCCTTCTGTAGTCTCAGCTGTAATCTCTTACCCTCCTGTAGTCTCAGCTGTAATCTCTGGCCCTTCTTGAGGTGACAAGCATCCACGGGACTCACGAACCAGTGATGGACGTCAACGGCCGCGCAATTAAAACTTTGCAAGTGATTAAGGCGCCGGGAACATCCAGCTGCAGTTGACGGAGATGTTAATCACCAGGATTATTTCTTTCCCCGAGATAACATGCAGGCCAGGGAAGAGAAAGTGAGATGACGCTGTTTGAGGAGTCGACGCACACTTTAGTCTACTCACATAGTTGGATGATACTGGAAAAAGTAGTTTTATTATACAGATTTTAAAACTGTTACTTAATCACATACACACATACACACACACATACACATACACACACACACACACACATACACATACACTGTTATCTAAAAAATAAATAGTAGTTAGTAACAGTTGATTGACAGTTGAGAGGCGGGCCGAAAGAGCAGAGCTCAACCTCCGCAAGTAACACCTAGGTGAATACAACTAGGTGAATACACACAACTACACACACACACACACAATTAAACTTCATTCAGAAGTTCAGAAGCGGGCTGCGCCAAATTGTTGTGTGTGGGTCAGAATGTGACCGTGACATCTGTTCCTTCTTACATTCATTCTACTTCTTACATCCCCGACCAGCCTAAGGTCGTCCCGTACCCCAGACTATTTTCCCTGCAAAGTTGGGTGAGTATAGCCCCAAACATCTGACCTCAGACCTTGGGTAGATAGACATACAGACTTTCCTGTCATACAGAAATAGATTAGAGTAGTTTGGATTGTAACAGGTAAGAATTTCACTACACAGAGCCAAGGTTTTGTATCTTAATGTATAAGAGGTGTTGTAATTTCCGTAACCATTTCAATATAATGGTAATGGAGGATCTATCTGAGGATAACATAACAAACTTTCACATAACATTTGTTCCTCTTACATGTCTTAGCATTAATAGGGACCTTTCTGTGAGCTATCTCTATTGATAGTTTATTGGTTAATAATAACATGTTAACTGTCGATAAATTATATCTAACAATAACATCTTGGAAATAGATAAAAAAAAACCAAGCGGGTTCCAGTCGTTGACCACCTTGTAAGTAAGTAAGTAATTATCAAAAGAAGGCACCAAACCGGGAAGGCTGACCACCTTGTAGATCTGTGTTAGTCTCAAGAGTAATAGTGTCAATATCGCACCATCTCCACTCTCAAACATGTCAACAGGCAGTTAACGCCATACGACCAACACTGACCTTTGTGAGGGTGTATATTGCTGAACGACCAATAACAGCCTGGAGCCTGAGAATTGAAGTTGTTTCACTAACGCTCAGAGTTAATGGAAGTACACGGACTGAGATTTTTCACTACTGCAGAGGAAGACCAGAGAAATATATTACTAAAGCTGGAATTTACATAAAAAAAAGAAAAGAGTTGGCACCAAGACTCCCGATGAAACTTAAATGAATTCTTAATGATACTGAATATTTAAGATGGGTATATAGGTACATGGAAAAATGACAGACAGACAGACAGATTAACATATACATTCACGTCCCAAACAAATGACAGAAAGAGGTAATATATAAATAAATATAAATATTATATATATATATATATATATATATATATATATATATATATATATATATATATATATATGTCGTACCTAGTAGCCAGAACGCACTTCTCTGCCTACTATTCAAGGCCTGATTTGCCTAATAAGCCAAGTTTTCCTGAATTAATATAGTTCCTCTAATTTTTTTCTTATGAAATGAAGCGGGAAGCGAAATAAAGCTACCCATTTCATTATGTATGAGGTCAATTTTTTTTTATTTGAGTTAAAATTAACGTAGATATATGACCGAACCTAACCAACCCTACCTAACCTAACCTAACCTATCTTTATAGGTCAGGTTAGGTTAGGTAGCCGAAAAAGTTAGGTTAGGTTAGGTTAGGTAGGTTAGGTTGTTGAAAAAACATTAATTCATGAAAACTTGGCTTATTAGGCAAATCGGGCCTTGCATAGTAGGCTGAGGAGTGCGTTCTGGCTATTAGGTACGACATATATATATATATATATATATATATATATATATATATATATATATATATATATATATATATATATATATATATATATATATATATATATATATATATGTGGTACCCTCTTCTATCTGTCTGTGGCCACTCCATGATAATAGTCAAGGACGCAAACGTCGTCGTCTCTTCATCATCTGACGTGTAGTTTGGTCATCATATCTTCAGCCACGTTATTGTGACTCATCGTCTTCTCAGTGTCGTAACGCTTCTTTTTTCAGTTACTTCTCCACCAGCTTCACCTTCATTTCACTCTCCTTTTTTTCTCCATCTTGTTTTCCCTACTTGATCCCCATCCTCACTAGTTCTGACCAGTTCTACACCATCCCCTCCCGTTCCATTCTCAACCGATAACCTCCCTTCACCCCCTCCTCTCCACCACGCCACCCCTCTTCTCCTCCACGCCACCCCTCTTCTCCACCACGCCACCCCTCTTCTCCACCACGCCACCCCTCTTCTCCACCACGCCACCCCTCTTCTCCACCACGCCACCCCTCTTCTCCTCCACGCCACCCCTCTTCTATCCCTCTTCAGCCAACACAATAGTGCCCTGTCGGTCCAATTAATAACTTCCAGCTGGTGATCTCGCCTAGGTAACCTTCATGCAGCCTCACACCGCGCCTTCCCCTCCAGAGGCCAATCTCCCTATGACTTCTCTCGGTTCCCACACCTTCCCTGGGCCCCCGTGCTTCTGTGTCTTCCCTGGGCCCCAGTGCTTCTGTGTCTTCCCTGGGCCCCCGTGCTTGTGTGTCTTCCGTGGGCCCCCGTGCTTCTGTGTCTTCCCTGGGCCCCCGTGCTTCTGTGTCTTCCATGGGCCCCCTTGCTTCTGTGTCTTCCCTGGGCCCCCGTGCTTCTGTGTCTTCCCTGGGCCCCCGTGCTTCTGTGTCTTCCATGGGTCCCCGTGCTTCTGTGTCTTCCCTGGGCCCCCTTGCTTCTGTGTCTTCCATGGGTCCCCGTGCTTCTGTGTCTTCCCTGGGCCCCCGTGCTTCTGTGTCTTCCCTGGGCCCCCGTGCTTCTGTGTCTTCCATGGGTCCCCGTGCTTCTGTGTCTTCCCTGGGCCCCCTTGCTTCTGTGTCTTCCCTGGGCCCCCGTGCTTCTGTGTCTTCCCTGGGCCCCCGTGCTTCTGTGTCTTCCATGGGCCCCCGTGCTTCTGTGTCTTCCCTGGGCCCCCGTGCTTCTGTGTCTTCCCTGGGCCCCCGTGCTTGTGTCTTCCCTGGGCCCCCGTGCTTGTGTCTTCCTTGGGCCCCCGTGCTTGTGTCTTTCCTGGGCCCCTGTGCTTCGGTGTCTTCCCTGGGCCCCCGTGCTTCTGTGTCTTCCCTGGGCCCCCGTGCTTCTGTGTCTTCCCTGGGCCCCAGTGCTTCTGTGTCTTCCCTGGGCCCCAGTGCTTCTGTGTCTTCCCTGGGCCCCCGTGCTTCTGTGTCTTCCCTGGGCCCCAGTGCTTCTGTGTCTTCCCTGGGCCCCCGTGCTTCTGTGTCTTCCCTGGGTCCCAGTGCTTCTGTGTCTTCCCTGGGCCCCCGTGCTTCTGTGTCTTCCCTGGGCCCCCGTGCTTCTGTGTCTTCCCTGGGCCCCCGTGACTCCCGTGGCACTCCGTGGATACCCACGGCTCTCGCGTCTACTCAGAAGTCCTCGTTTCTATTCTGGATAACCATGTCTACCGTGGCCCCAATGTATACCCTGGGCCCGCGTGTTTGTCCTGCATCTCCGTGTCTAACCTGCACCCCAGTGTCTAGGACCCCCCATATACACCTTGGATTTCCGTGTCTGCACTAGGATATATATCTATCCTGGTCCTCTTCGGTCTGCCTTGGATCATAATGTACCCTGACTCCTTGTGTTAACACTGGGGTGTACCATCTATCTTGGGGCCCCGTGTCTCCCCTGGACCTCTCGTCACTTCCTTGCACCATCACGTACCTTCTTGGTTTGCTGGTCTCTACTCCCCTCCTTTGTCCCTTTACATTACCACTATCCCTCCACCTCTCCTGTGTCCATCTGTCCCTCTGCCTTCACTGTGTCCCTCTGCCTCCCCTTATTTCCTTCCACCTCCCAATGTGTACCTCTGTCTCCCCTGTGTCCCTCAGCCTCCCTTGGGACTCCTTTCATTCCCTGTGAGAGTTTGAAGCATGATAATCGTTCTATGAAAAAGGAGATATAAAGTTGCGTCAAAACATGAAAGCTTTAGAGAGTTTGAAGAAGTGTTCTCAAGATGATAGGGGACTCAGACGTGGACACAAGCATACACCCAGCACCATGAAGAATTTAAAGCATTTAACCTCTTGGTCAAGATGTACCGCATATCAGCAGATTCCATATAATTAATCATATACAACAAGATAAATCATTTCATTTTCATTATACTTGTTTAGTGAAACTGTTCAGTGATTCCAAGTAATATCATTACATGTTGCTTTATTATGTATCTCACAAACCCATTATTAGTTAGTCATATTTACAGCACCCTCAGCTGTAATTCTTTTTCGAAATTAGACCTGCTCTCTCTGAGACGAAGTCTAATCTGACTTTTCAAACTGGACTTTCAATCAGCATTTTGAATATATCAGACCACGTTGTGTTTGTATGGTCAAACATCACAGATAGTTCTGCACAAAATTCTAACATTATCTGACTTGATAATGATTTGATAACCCCCCCTCTTCCTCTCCAGTGTTTCACAATCAGAAATATCAGTATACTCTAATCATATTGATTATATAATTCTCCAGCAGACTTAATACGTGAAACCAACAAAGATTTTAAATCCTAGAGGAGAGAAATAGAAAGAGAAGTCAGTGCAGGGAGAGGGAGGACCAAGAAGAGATAATGGAAGAAAATAAGATTAGAGAAAGTTGGAGCCTCGGTCTACTTCCTTCTATTCTTCCTCTCAGTTCATCTCGTATCACTGACTCCGTCGGCATCTTCCTTGACATTGAGGAAACACAAAGTTTTCTCTGAAAAGAAAAAAATAAATTGTGCTCACGATATCTAAAGTGGTTGGGAAAAGAAATTTATCAACAACTGTATAGAGGTTTCGTGTATACTATGCGAGCTGTCATTAAACACAATGTCAGTTATGCTTAATAATTAAGAGTGGCTAATGTAACAAGAAAACCTATTGATAACTTTATTCAAGCATCTTCCTTTGGAAATATTACTGTTGTTATTTAACAAGTTCTACGTGTATTCTAAATCCCTTTTTAGATTTAAGGGTTTCAAAATTTCATTTGTAATAATTTAATAACAAACATCACAATGCTGCTAAGGGATATTTGGGTCTTTTTCCACAATTGATAAAGACATAATTTAAAAAAATTGTCTTTAAACTGCTTTGTCCACGACTTTGTTCAAAGGTTTTGTACAGGGTTTAAAAAAGGCAATATAGCAAGGACCTGTTCTTCCTTATTGGCAGTTTCTGTTAACAATTTCCCCAATATTATATTAAATTCAATGTTTAAGATAAGTGACGACTGAGCATATAGTTTGATTCTGATAACAGAATGATTCTATTATGTTCTGACTTGGAGAGAACATTTTCTGAATATAGTTACTGTAATAAACTTCCAGGCCTATAATGAAAGTGTAGCCAAGATACATAACACTTACAGCTTTACGAGTCTCTTGGCTTCAGCTTTCTTCTACTCGATCTTCTGTCTTCCTCTTTCTCTCTCCCTTCCCCGCTCTTCCTCTCTCTGTCGTCTGTCTCTCTCTTTCTCTCCCTACCTTTCCCTCTCCACCTCACTCCCTCTCTTTCTCTTTCTCAATCTCGCAGTTGATTTTCACCAGGATATCAGCCAGAGGTTCCTGACCTGTAAGTGGCTATACATCCCAAAGCTCCACCAATTAAAATTCTCTTCTCTCAGCAATACCAGCATCACGAGAGGTACTTTAGCATTGCACCCTTAAATATTATTGGAGCTTTACATCCCGACGAGAAAAAACCCTTGGAATGAACAGGCCGATGTGAAGAAGGTTGTACAGGGACACGTTCCAGTTGGAAAAGAATTCTCCGGAAGGTCAAAATCGCTGAAATTCTTATGACGTACCCAGCGCATTAAAATCCGTATTGAAATCGTAGATAAAGTTCCTTACAGGAAATACATTTTTTCTTCATTTCGTTGGCTTAGCTGAATCATGGGGTGCGTGAGGGGGATGGAGGAGGGGAGGAAAAAGTGAGACACTGGAGAATCCATTGAGGTCGAGAACCCCCTTTCGGTCTTATAAGGACTTTGAACCTCGCGGAGAGGACTAAGCTAGTGTGGTGGTGGAGGAGAGTCCTCACGGAGGGAGAGACACCTCTCACACTTCATTTGTGGGGCATATAAACCGACAGACGAACCAGAATAAGCTGTAGAAAAGGTATAAATAAGAAATAAATATAAGAGACAGACAGAAAAAGACAGATGAGTGACAGTTTTCTCTCTCTGTCCTCTTCTAAATTCATATTATATATATATATATATATATATATATATATATATATATATATATATATATATATATATATATATATATATATATATATATATAAATTAATTCTTAACAGTTAACGGCTTATCAGGACGGCTTAACAAATTCACGGAACAGTTAAATTCTCTATGCAAAGTTGCGGGTATTATCTAAAAGAACCCAGAAAGTAATGGCTATTGGAAATTTATGTGCTTTCATTTATTTCAGCAGTAAGAATACTTTTATATCGCTAAACTTTAATGGCTCTCTTACCCTAAGTCGATTTTATTTATTCTTGATTTGACCAATTACGTTTTCAGTAGGGTACGCCTGGCTTCCCTGCACTAAGGGCGTGTGGTAAAGCCCCTCCGCAACCCAAGCTTCCGCTCAAAGGGAAAATATCCCACACATTTGTTCCTTTGTCGCTTTGCATTTTAGTCGTGTGAGTAAGCAGTTGTACCTTATATTTCAAACTCTCATTAGAGGAAAGATAGTGCCACACCAACATTTTAGACTAATGGGAACAAGTAGAGACCTCATTAAACGAGAAATATCTGGTTTTAGATATTAAAACAGAAGCTCACAGAAGAAGGTAAACAATAGTAAGAAGTGCGAAATTAAAAGATTTTTTAATAATATCTCAAAACATAAACAAAGAATCAGTAGTAGAACAACACATTTCTTTTGCGATACAAGGAGAGAAATCTCTAAAAGGTTATTTAGCACGGCCACTAAGATGGTACACTATCAAGTAGTCTGCTAGGTAGAAATATTAGCAACGTACCGCAGTTACCTTCATGTATAGTTGCCTCTGTACTCGGCTATTCCACTCAACGTCTTGACCTCCGATACTCCTGTAATGAGATAAGATTGATGGGGTTACAACACAGAGCTTGACTCGGATATAATGTTTTGGAACATACCTACATGTTCCCACATACAAGTGCTCAAATCTCAGCCCACCAGTTTCGAAACACCAAGAGATATTCGGGAAGGTCTTAGGCCTCATTACGCTCTAATTTTAAATATAATTTTCGATCGCCAGCATAAAAAGCCATATATTTTCCAAATATATGTTAATAAAGCTGCTGGGAACTTACTCTATCGTGTGGATAGACTGATGATAGAGTTACATCACTAACACAAGATGGCACCAACAGGCAAAACTACCCGGAGAGTCTTATGCCTTGTGTTCGTTCAGACATTCTAAGCATAAAGCAATCAGGATTGATTGCGCAATCAGGAATTAACAAAGAAAATTGCTAGGAATTAAATGTCAATTTCCATAGAGGGTTTACGACTGAGCCGGATCATCTCCCAGTGCTAGAAGAGGAGGTAACCCCTAGACGAGAGACAGGCAAATAATGAGGTAACACCAGAGGAAGTATTGAAACAAACAGCATCAGTAGATGAAATTTAAGTTACTGGCTAAGACAATATTATATCAAGATGGTTGGAGGAAGCTGCACAACCTCTCAGTATACCTCTTGCTCTGATTTTTAATGATAAAATTTTTACATGATAATTGATCAGCTACTGGAAGAAGGAAAATGTGGTTAAAAATAGAAGAAAGTGAATAGGGAGGAGAAGCGAAAGTACAGATCAGTATCACTCACAAACATTCCCTGTTGAGTACGTACAATATCAAATAAAATATATTAAAATATTTATGATGTACTATATACAGATGGCTCGATACAAGGAGCGTAGCTTTAATGATGTAACGAGAAATATGTACACAATCAATAGTACACACGCACACACCACGAGAGTAGCTATAATGCTGTAACTACACTTAGGTAATTATATATACCCAAACATGCACACACACACACACATACACACACACTCACAATATAGTGTAAAACTAACACATTCCCACGCCTCCACTCTCCAGCTGGGCACTCCTACAACTTTGGAGGTTGAGGCCTGGAGAGTCAGTGATGCAGCGGCCATTTCCCCGGCGCGCCTCAACACACCACATCGTGTTTTAACCTGGCAATTACCTTGATTGGTGCTCGAGTCTCATCACCCTGAGTGACTCTCTCTCAAAACAATCACAGAGCTTTACTTGTGCCTCTTGTAAACAGTGTTCACTGTGTGTGTGTGTGTGTGTGTGTGTGTGTGTGTGTGTGTGTGTGTGTGTGTGTGTGTGTGTGTGTGTGTGTGTGTGTGTGTGTGTGTGTACAAGTCACCTTGCAGGGGTCAAGCACACCCCGTGTGTTCCGACTCCAACCATCATTAGTTCAGAGCAGTGACAGTTTTCACTCATATATCTTATTATATTAATATCGAAAACTGCATATTGAATTAGCTTCGACATCTTC